GTATGTCTTGGTTATTTGGATGCATGAGATCTGTATCATGCCAGCTCAAGTTTCTTTTCAAAACTTCTTCTACTTCTTATATCTTCATCTGTATGATCTATCATATATAGGACTCCAAAAATTCGTTTAAAGAAATGATTGTGGAGGATAGGGTTTAGGGTTTGATTGAAGCAATGTTTGGCGCATTCCACTGAAGATGGCCTAGAGGAGAAGGCCAAATCAAATGAAATTTTTTGGTGTATGCATTTTTTGTCAGAGGGTGAAGACTGTATATTATGGCATACACATGTTGAAGCTATGAAAATTTCCTTTATAGAGATAGAGTCGATCTAAGTGATTTGGGCTAGAGTTTTTGTAGTAGATGTTTATGGAGCATATGAGACATTTATCTACGGTGAACATTCTTAAGGCCAAATTTGTTGAAATTGGATGCCTTGAAGATTGTTCTTTTGATATGATTGTAGATAACCCAACGACTAATATAGATTACTGTATTCTGTACCGTAAATGACATTCTACGGCTGATGCATTTCTCATTGAATCATATGTGAATCTGAATCTTGTGGCAGGTAAAAACCTACATATTACTATTAAAAGTTAATATAAAATGCAATTCTTATATAATATTAAAAAAATTATAGATTATCACAAAGTACTTTGTTATAAATATTTCATTTAATTTAACTCGCTATTCAACTTCTAAATTAAAATTAATTTAAATTTGCCTATTTTTTTTATAAAATACAAGATGTATAGAAGAAGTAAAGTGAATAGTATATTATTTCAAAAAATTGAAAGTCATAATGACTGATCATTGGAAATGTCAACATCATAAAAAAAGCAACATTATAAAAAACATAAACAAAATATCAACTAACGTCTCTTACGTCCTATGTGAGATAATTCATCACTATTGGGAGTGTAATGTTGTGGTGGATGTACAGACCTTCCACGTTATACATGCTGCTCATCTCCAATGATGTCATGCTACTCTATCCCAACTGTGGCTGGCTTTGAAACAGTCGTTGATATCATGCCTAAAATATTCTCAGGTGGGAAACATGCTGGTGTAGACTGCTGAGTTGGCTAAGTAAAGTAATCTTGACTTGGTCCTAAGTCTTCAAATGATGATGGTCTTGCAACCATAGAATGAGGCTCTTCTATCACTGGAGTCGAGATGTCGATTGAATACCCTGTATGTGTATTCTCTATGTAATGCTCACCAGGAATATGAATCTCTCTAAGCAAATCCATAGTCATCCACGCTATTCTCTTAATAACACTTTCAGCATCGGTGTAGTCATCAATACTCACCAAAGCTAGCACTGCCCTCTCTATGTCTAGGAAGAATTTGCGTTGAAGGAAAAAATTAAACGACTATAAGGATCAATTTATATATTTAACCTTCCATAATGATATGTATAATGTGTAAATATTACTAACCAGATATCGCTCCAAAGGTGCTCGAGGATAGTGTTTTATCGATGATGTTATAGGCGGCTTTAATATGTATAATGTTACCCATGACCTAAACCACTATAAGTACTGTTGAAAAAAGTGCTCAGTATCAACTCCAGCACGCATTCCTTCAATAATGTATGCTCTCACCTATCCTCCCACAATCCAACATAAGCTATATGATATACCATCTAGTCTATATTAGCTTTACCACGCCTAACTACTCGAATAAATTTGGGCACCATAGGTTGAACTTAAATAGTAACAAACCCAAATTGTCGAATGACTATATCTGGCAAGTGGTACTTCACAGACGTCCAACTAACCAAAGGCACACGAGCCAACCAAATTGGTTCTCCTAATAAGCATATGTTAGTTACTTAAGATCGAACTTCTACTGTGTATGGCTCCCAGGTTACCTTCCAAAGCCAAGAAATTTTCATTATGTGTCTTCGAATCGATTAAATTCAATTTGTTTAAGAAATCTTGCTAGTAACAATGCATACCTAAGTATCAAATAAGCCATCCAACTCATCTCTATAACTATTGATGCTACTTGCTGAGAGTTGCCTAATGATCTCTTGGTTTCACCTATATATACATAGAAAATAAAAGTAAATTTTTATGTTAAGTTAATATAAAAGGTATTCAAAATTAATTCCTGGTGAAATATAATACATATATCTAATACTAAGGCCATTTAGGCTGACATGCTGCGGAACATGAAGTGCAAGATGCCCGACATGTAGTCGCTCCCAACATCAAATATGAAGTAAATGAGTACGTCATGCAATATTCGCCCTCTTTGGCTTTGTTGGTTCAACAATATAGGTGAGCCAATACAGCTTCCCCTAAATAATATATGCTGAATAAACACAAGTCTTCTAGTAAAGGAAGGAATCTCAAATGAATCTCACAACTGGAAGAGTCTGGCAGAAGGTAAGATTCCATCAAGAAGAGAATGTATGCTCGAACATGCCGCCAAAAATCAAGCTAATTTAAATCCAGATATGAATAACTGTAGATGGTCCAAGAGAGTGGCAACAAAAAATATAAATAATTATTTTATTTTTAAAAAATGAATAGAAATTAATAAAATTGCCTTTGTTAAACTTATCTCTCCAAGTGAGGTCAACAAAAAATAAAAAAAAAATATTTTGGAGCCCAAAAGGCGTATGTTAACATGCCCATAAATGCCCTTGGAAACACACTCACTAAATTTTTTGTTCCAATCAATGCTTTAACTTTAGAGAAGGATGAAATTATAATTGAGAAAACTAATTCAAGGCGTCAAGCGAAAGTCAATATTTATGTCCAAGGAGCAATCATAGATTTTTTGAAATTATAATTTTGCACCGCAAAAGTTTTCAAAGGCTAATTATATGGTTTTGGGCAACCGAAACTCTACCGTCCAAAAATAGGTGGGTTGGGTGGGCAATGAATGTCCCAAAAAATTAACTTAATTGGACACAAATCTCGATTCATATTCATAATTCGAAAATTTTCATAATCAAACTCATGATGATAACAAGAGTGATTCGATCCAAGTCTGAATAAGCTCAAATAAAGCGCTTAAATATAATTAAAAAATTATTTATGTTGATTGGAAGATCAATGATCACCAAATCTAACATGCCTATATAGCCAAATTAAGCATCTTAACAAAACAAATCCAAAGAACTAAAGATTACTTAATTTTGACATCGTTAAGGCAACAATATGTACAATCTGATTGATTGTTTTAGATTTTAGATATGTTTATGGAGCATGTTGCTTTCAAAAAATTTAAATAGATCACACTTTCCATATGAATGGACTCTTGGCTTGAGATTCAAAAGAGCACAAAGATTTAAAGAACCGTAGAGCTCCATCAAACCCTAACCTGATTGCCATCAACATACCACCACCCATTTACTATCTTTTGGATTGTTGCTGCTTAACCTTCTTCGTTGGATTAGTATTGCTATTAGAAAGCAGGTGCTCGACCTTTGTTATCAGATTGTAGCCATCAAACCACCACAAAACCAACATTGTTGGACTACAGCTATTGGATTATTGTCACTGAATGAACATAGTCCGACATCCATCAGACCACCATTATTCTACCACCACTACATAACTGTCATTTGGCCACAATGATCAAACACCTCTTATTTCTTATCGATTAGATGCCTTTTATCTTACCTTCTCTAATTTGAGGAATAGCCGAATTATAATTAACATTTACTTAATGAAGCTATTTCGGCCTAGTCGGGTCTCATGATTTTTTTCCTACTAAGGTTTTCCATGTAAAAATTGTCTTCAAGATTCCCATATTTTTTCTATGCATGCGCTAAATTTTTTTACAAACCTAAAATATTATTTTTTCACTTTTGTCATGAATATTCTAGCACTCAACATATTTATCAATTTCAATACCTAACTTAAGAAAAAAAAATACATATTAGAATTGATGAGTAATAAATTGTAAAAGTATATTATTTGAATCCATTTAATCATTGATTCACCTATTTTTTATTTTAAATATTAGATTATCTCTTTAGTCAATAAAACATATTAATCTAAGAGAATTTCAAACTTATTAAAAGATTTAAATAATTCAAATATTTAATACACTAAATAGAGACTGCAATATTAAAATTCTTACACTGTAAATCATCCAGATGCAAGGAATAGTTTAAGCACACATAAGCTATAGATTTCATTTGAGATAACTTTTTTACTGCTTTTTGAAATGATTTTTTAGTGCACAAATCTTTATTCTAAAAATAGCAAGAAAGTTCTTCCAAATAAAATCTCAATGGATGCAAAAACTGTAAAATGCCCTATTTGTAACCATAAGGTCTCGTAGCTGTATATTGCACCAAGACATGAAGAATTTAACACATGAATAAGATGACAAGTCGTAGATATTGCTCTATTTCAGGAACCGAGATATACCCAAGAAAATGAGATCGAAGATTTGCAGGAGATACACAAACCAAATGAAAAAATAACAAGAAATCCGCAAGGATAAATTCATGAATAATGCTTCCTGTTACAAGTTTAAATGCAGGAATTCTGTAGCTTCTTGCAATACCAACAATATAGATAAAAATGAAGCTGTTCTACCACCCTGAAAAGCTTATGTAATATATAGGACCACTGCATTCAGGTAGGGGTGAAAATGATTTGATTTGCTGAAACTCATATAACCCAACTCAAAATTAGAACTGGCTCAGCTTGAAATAATTTAAATTTCCCTTTATTTAATTTTTAAAATAATTAATATGTGCATATTTCAAGCCGATTTTACCGGACTCAATCCGATCCAGATCCAACTTAAAATTAGCTCAATCTGAGTGAAATCTTGATTCCGGCTTTATTTGGGACAACTTTCTAACTGCTTCTTAAATTAGATTTTTGATTAATTTTTTAATTAAAAAATTATTTCAAGAAACAATAAGAAAGCCATCATGAATGAAGCCTCGTTATTTGAGTTAATATCCAAGTCCTACATTCAGTCAATCAAGTATTAAGAGAAGGCAGCCTGACAATAGGGATCAAGAAGATAACATGGAAATGCATTAGATAAAAAGAGGATATATTTAGAGAAAAGATTGATCATAGCAAACAAATTTATTACATAATGAAGTTTGAAGACAAGTATATTGCACTATCGCTCATGGAGAATCCAGACGAAGAAGGAAAGAAACTGACCATTTTCATTCTTCACATAGCATTTACGATCACGTCTCCCAGTGTTGAGAGACGAGAGGAACTTTAACTCTGCCATAAGCGTAGAAGAAAAACCCTGCGCAGTGTGGCATAAAACAGTGAGCAAAACGAAGCCTTCCAGGTTTTTTATCTAATGTTTGATAACCATTATAACAAAACTAAAAAAGACGGGGTTTTGAAGTACATGTTCTATAAACAAAGGATGAAAATATATTTGCCAAGTGAAGGATCATAAATTAATACGCACAACTGTTACAGATCAATTCCACCAGAGCCAATAAATACATCATTTCAAGTAGTACTTATTAGTTATCGCAGTTTAAACATAATAGATAATCCTTTGGTTATGGATAAAAAGGCCACTTTCGTTAGTTATGGTACCTAGGAACAGCATGCTGAAGCCTTTGACTGCTCAGCTGGAGTATTTGAAAGAACCATTCCTGCTGGATTTTGAGCTGGTTGTGCGCGGGGTAGTCTTCTTGCTGTAAGTATGAGATATCTTTAAATGATAGTTCAGGTAGGAATTACAAACATTAGTATACTACATCCAATAAAAAGTAGCATCTACAAATGCCATGTAACAAGAGAGTAATAACACCATGAAATGAAAAAAAATTTCATCAACTTTCAAATAGTTTTCCTCTTTATCTTTATAGGTTGTCCAAGCCTATCATCTCACCTGATCTCAAAGGCAATAGCACTTGACCAAGAGGCCTACGGTTCCTCTACTGTCCATATCGCTCCCAGTAGCATAACCATATCAAGGGAAGAGGCGATTTAAAGAAAAATATTAGAGAAAAATAGAAATGCTAAAAGGATGTCTATACTTTTCGTTAGGAACTTAAACTTTCATGTGAACTTGAATAGCTTTACAATAGATTGGCTCAAGGGATTGACCTTTTATTCTATTGTTTAATCAAATCAAATGATTTTTTACTCAGAAAAAATACCTAATTTTTTTCCAAAAAAGAAAACAATGCAAGTGTTATTAGTAAGTTTTACTTCAAGTAACATGGTAAGATCAGTGGAATAAATGCTCACAAGGGTCAACCATACTTCTACACTTGCCATAATTAAAAATGTTATTAAACGTGCATGCGTGCTCCTAAAGTCGTGTGCTATATATGTGAATGGAATGACACAATGACAAGCATCTTCAATGCAGCAAAATACTCATCAGAAACTAAGCTGTTTGCAAAGAAGTGTACATTTCGCAAGTCAAAACAAGGTAAAATAATTCTCTACTCAACTGGTTTGGTTTGAACCTTTGAGACTTTGATGATAAATTACCCAATCCTTATCCCAAGCCTTATTCCAATGTGATTTTGACCTCGTCTATCTTTACGATATTCTCAGCTTATATGATTTTCCTTCCTCCTGTTCAATGATAGAGTAAGCACAGTTGTTCCAACATCCTTGCCAAATTAATTCCTCATCCAACACAACACATCAACCTTTTCTCATACCCTTCCTCTTGTTTATTGTTTCCTATGATTCATTTTCTTGATGAACATTTGCAGTCCTTTATTTTCACATTTCAACGTGGCCTTTTGATGCAGTATAAAGATGCAACATTTCAACACCTATCTTACTTGGAGTGATCATCACTTGCCTTCCTTAGATTTGTTATTTAATAAATGTACAATAAAGAGTTACTTTATTATGAGGAATCCTATATAAAAGACTCATCTTTTGTGAAAAATTCAATATTATTTTCCTTCATTTCTTTTGGTATCTTTCTTTTCTTTGTATTTGCTTAAATGTTAATTCCTCTTTATAAAAAGAAACAGTGATATAAATACAAAGTAAATTACAAGCAAGTATATACAAATCCCCTCTCCTTAGGTGTGGCTGGCGACCCTATCACTTTTTGTCTCTCTATCTCTTCTTTATCTTACTCTCTCCCTCTCCCTCCCTCATCCTCCCTTACTCCATCTAGGTCCCTCTATCTCTTAGACAACTGTCTTCTCCTTCCTGTCTTAAGAACTATTTTAACCTAAGCCTCAATTCCCTTATATCAATCTAGTCAATCAAAATACACATCATCTACATCAATCGATATTCAAATATTTATGGTCATCATTTGGTATTAGACTTCCAACAGGTCCCAAATTCTGGATGAGAAAAATGGAGTGTTGCGTAAGGTACTCGACAACAAGCATAAAATTTATCGAATAATCATATCATGACAAGACATCATTTGATATCAGAGCATTCATAATTAGGTGAAAGCTGAATTTCCTATATCAAGAAGGTTTCAATTGTACCTTGTCCCCTTTTGACCACCTCTATATATTTTGGGTTGATCTCTTTAAACTCTCATTGAAATCACATAATTTTAATTATGTTATTGTCACTAAATAAGCTAAAACTTTTATGCTTAGCACTTGGATGATTTTGATAACATTCAATCCAATTTTTCATAGAATTACAGACATTCATAAACAACATTCATTAAAAGATATCAGATAAAAAAGCCACGTGCAATTGATGCATGCAATAAGAGAGCAACAGAAACACTATGAAATGAACGCATTAAATATGTATCAACTTTAAACTAATTTTTCTGTTTATCTTTTATAGGTGATCCAGGCCTATCATCTCACATGAAGCCACTTGACCAAAAGGCCTAAGGTCCATTTACTATTAATATTGGCCCAAGTAGAACAACCATAACCAATACAAAGAGGTAACACCAACAACAACATCAAGCCTTTATCCCACTACATGGGGTCAGCTACATGAGGCTGCCGTTTTATGTGACCAAACCATCTACAATGAGACTCTCTAATCTTATCTTCCACTAGAGCTACTCCAACCTTTTCACATATATGCTTGTTATATATCCTATCTCTAAGAGAAAAAAGATTCATGTTATCATTATTCGACAAGTTTTATGCTGGCTATCGACTAACAAACACAACCCTCCATTTGATTGTGGGCTCTGAAAATTCGAACCCTGGCCTCGCCGCCGTTTTAGACGGAGTTTTAACGGATTAAGTTCTAGGACAAATTTTGAGAAGGCAGATTGTGATTGTAGATAAGTCACTACCCAGAGATTTCCCCCTCATTTTGGGAGGATTTTATGATCTAAGTTTTGGTTTCCTATAGGCGCAAGCACCTATAGTTAATTACTCATCCCGATAACGAGATAGAACATTCGATTAAGGCTAGTCGTCGATTAGATATGTAAAGATATGTGTTATCTGACATATAGTAGCAACATGAGTTGGATGCTTAGAAATTTGATATTTAAAATAGAAAATTTCACCATCTTGCACTTAAAGTGGATGTTGGGGAAATGGATGGACATGATCAAGATCTCATGGTTTCGTTGTCCTGGGCCATCGTGGTTTCTGGTCTACTTAGTCAGAGGAGGTAGTCGACCCAACCTAACAGAAGGATTCTTGTCGGTAACCATGGGTTGCTTCGTCTAAGGGTACCTTGTAGACCTAGGGTGGATATTTGTTTAAAGGGGCAAATTTGAAACCACCTTCGCTAACAGAAGGCTTTATGCTCTATTGATTAAATCCTATTGATTCATACCTCAAGGATTTAGTGCCATTGGGGAGCTTACGAGCTCTGACCATAACCGTAATTAAAAGATGCCATTTAGTGGCAAAACCACCTAGTTCAGAGGACCTCGGTCATAACTATTTATCTGAGGTGCCATTTGACGACGAAACCACCGGTTAGAAGACACATGCTACATCCTTACTTGCAAGAGATGGTTTGAGAGTGAATCCTAGTGATATTCTCGACCTGACATTAGCTCTTTATGAGCTGAAGTAATTTTTAATTTGTCCACCTCGGTAAACTGTTGTGAATGGTGAATAGATTTTGCTTTAACCATTTAATGGTTGAATCTTAATTTTAGACACTTTGAATTTTTGATATTTTTAGAGTTTTTGAATTTTTATAGGTATTTTGGGGCATTTTGAATATTTGGAATTAACACCTCCGGTTGAGATCTTTTGTCAACATGGCTAACATTGGGGTATTTACGGGTATTTTCATTTGGGAAATTCATTGACTGAATCTTGTTGCCTCTGTCAACTTGCCTACAAAGGATCAAGTTTGTCGATTGTATGCTATTATTAATGAATTTTCCTTCTTATAGACCTTTAAGGCCTAATATGAATGTTTAAAACAAATATCTCTTTTAACAGTGTGATCGTATGTTTGTTTAATAGTTTGAGCAATGTCAACTTCTACTGATCTATTTAGAAGGATCGGGTTCGAACTTAACTTCATTTACTGACCCGCACAACATCCCTAGAAGTCACATATGTACTTGTAACACGCTCGCTGGGACTTATGCGTGTATGATTGCATATGTATTTTTGTGTTTTTGGGCATATATATTCGAATATTTTAGTTGTGTGGGAAACTATCATCTAAGTGTGTGTAGCATTCCACTTGAGAGCTTATACACGCATTTTGTCCACTTGTATGAGTGTTGCGGATCTGGTGGCGTGACATCATATTGTGGTCATTTCCCCATTTTGTACAGTAGACTGTTGTGCACTTATGCGTGTGTATGATTGCACAAGTATTTATGTGTTTTTGTGCATACATATTGGAATATTTTAGTTGTGTGGGCAACTATCGTCTAAGTGTGTGTAGCATTCCACTTGAGAGTTTATACACGCATTTTGTCCACTTGTATGAGTGTCGCGGATCCGGTGGCATGACGTCATATTGTGGTCATTCCCCGTTTTGTATAGGTAGACTATTGTGCACTACTTATCATTTTCTGTAAGTAGAATGTTGTGCACTAACAAATCTCCTGCTTTGCATTTGTAGATGATTGTAGTGGCATATTGTATGCACGATGAATTTCCCACAGTAACTTGTAGGCACTTGCACTTGATATAGTCACTTTGTATTTTGCTTATGGACACACAGAGTGTACGATGAGTCCTTTATATAAACTTGTGGGAGCTTGTGTTTGCTGTGTATTGTCTTCCTCCATTTGTAATGAATCGATATATTTGCTAGCTCTTGAATGGGGGTTGAATCTAGGAGCATTGTACGTGAGTTGTGTATTCGTTGATGGTCTTCTGAATTTCGCTTGTCGGTAGTGTGTTGAGCTCATGACGAGTCTCATACAACACATATTGTTCACGTGACGGCTCTCCTACAGCAACCCGTAGGTTCCCGCACTTACTGCATGTCCTCTAGCTTTGCTTATAATGGATCGGCATATTTCTCGACCATTCATTGATTATCGACTGCAAGGATGCTGCAACGCTCTTTACCTCTTTCTACGATAGCTTATACATATTGTATTTGTGCTTCCTTTGTTTGCGGATGATGCATTATGTGTGCCTCTATGTTTACAGAGGACCTTCACCTCTACAATGCACTTACCATTGTTGCTTGCAAATTGGATCGCTGCATAGGTTGTAGGACTTTTGCTCTCACATCTTCAACTTATGGATCAATCATTGTATGCATGGAGGGCTCCCTACAATCGCAT